TCAAGTCTGTGTGGAGGTCAGCAGCACTCAGCACCAAAAATAAGATCCGGATTTTCAACTCCAATGTGAAGTCAGCGCTACTCACTATACGGATCAGAGACTTGCACTGCGCATGATAAAGAGCATCTCAAACAAACTACAGACCTTCATGAACAGCTGTCTTCGCTCAATACTCAAGATCAGATGGCCAGAAAAGATCAACAATAGTGGAGGATCTCTGGGAGCGAACCAACCCAGCAGGAACCGGTTGTGAAACAAATAGGCAGGAAGAAATGTAGGTGGATTGGCCATACTCTGAGGAAACCATTAAGTGACTAGCCCTTAAGTGGAACGCGAGAGGGAAGCGGCGAGTTGGTCGTCAGTGCAAGGGTGACTTGGAGGAGGTCCTGTGAAGAGGAGATGAAATCATGTGGGCAGACTTGGAGCCGGGTGAAGACTCTAGCAGAGGACCGAACACAATGGAGATGCACAGCTGAAGTCCTATGTTCCTTTAGGAATTAAAGGAAACAAAATAATTAATACTGATTGTTAATGGGTTCATATACAGGAATGATTTTTCTGAATTGCTTCTATGTATTCCAAACATACTCGGATATGGATTCACTTTAGTACTAGGTATTGGTAGTCACCGTAGTTATTGTTCTTATCAGATTACCATACATTGGATTGAACATAAATCAGCTAGTTTCAATCAAATATAGACTAACATCGACAGCATTTACAATCTCCATAGAGTTCTTCTTATTAGTAAACTTGGTCGAAACAAAACAAGAACAATGGATGATATGAACTCATTCTTATATATTATTTCACTGTTTCTTCTCAGCTGACTATATAACCTGAAGCATACAACACAAATACCTAGCTCACCACAACAGAGAAAATAATATAAGGTTAAGGTTTATTTACTGTGTTACACTTAAGTGACACATGACAATATTACCTGCACTGTTTGAAGCTCATCACACACACTAACCCACCCACACATCAATGGGTTCTAGTCTGCTGAGTGAATATTAGCTTATTTGTTACGTTAATTGACGATCATGAGTTCGGGCCTGGATAAAAATGATAGGAATATGCAACTAAATAGTCCTAAGTCCTTTTTCACTTCTTATCGTGTTTTTTATCATAATTTTATTTGAACTGATTAAAAATGCCCATTAAAATTTTCAAAAGAATGTTATAAACAACATTAATGTTTAAATAACATTGAATCAATAATAATACCAATGGATTACAGCTCAATAGCATCAACATAAAATAAGCTGAATGTCAGAAAAATAGGCAAGATAATATTACAAATTCATTAATTTATAATCTCTACTGAAGGCAAGGGCAGTAGTAGGGGCTGGACTTGCTTCTTTTGAACACAGAGCACTGGTTGTGTTGAGGCGAATTGCAATAGCCTCTGCTGTTTGGAGAATGCGGTGCTTCGACGATTTTGGCAATTAATTAGGCACCCGGTAGATTATAGAGAAGGATTCTTCTACGCTGGCTGGCTTTGTGACCGGTTTGCACCAGATGGTCCAATATCGAACTGTTAATGGTTTTCACTACACCTTTACTTAGCCATGCTGGGAGAGGTTCTCGAGCACGAAAAATCAATTTCCTAGAGCAACGGCCAATATAACTCGCTCCACCACTAGCGGAGTTGAATTGGTAGGTACAATTGGAAGTGGTTGGCTAGTCTAGGTACTTCATCTTTCAGTCGAGGTAGCACCATTGGTCGTGTAGAGAATAATACGTGTAGTTCGCCAGCACTAAAAGTTCTTTGAGCTAATTTTCCTAATTTTTATCGTAATTATTTCACTTGGTATACCGTCCTTGAATTTGTAATATTATCTTTCCTAATTTTTCTGACATTCAGCTTATTTTATGTTGATGCTAATGAGCTGTAATCTATCAATATTATTGATTCGATGTTACTTAAACAACGACATTAATGTTGTTCATAACACTAATTCAATCATTCACTATAATGTATTTATAACTGTAGAGCCTAATGATGAAGTTATCGAAAAGAGTACTCGTTGTTCAGCATCCATTCTTTTGAAAATTCTAATTTTGTCAGTTCTCTACATAGCGCTACCCTCGACCAATGCTATCGGTGACTAAACACTTCACCTTACAATAGTGGAACCTACTGGCCACATTTATTATCCAAACTCCAAAATGTTTACAGATAGTGAGTAGTCCTTTTCCGCCGCATTCTTTGTCATATGTTTCTTGATAAATTTTTCGGGATAGCCATTTTCGATCAAAGTATCATATACAATGCTTAATTCATCTTCAATTACTTCTTCTGAGCATATAGCTCTAAATCAGTGGCTGAGGGTCTTCACTAAATTTCTTTTGTACTTGAGAGGAACGAAGCTTTGAAAATTTGTATATTGTCCTGTCCAAGTACATTTTCTACGCAAATTTCTTTTTATGCTAACATCTAGTTTTCTTGTAAGGAGGACATCCAGGATGTCAATTCTTTCTTGGGATTCCTCTTCGCATGTGAATTTCATAGCCGAATGTACTTCATTGTACTCCTATCCGAATCATTATCACAAAGAATGAAAGTGTTCTGAGTGGGTCACACGACTTCAAGCTTGAGGCTTCAAGTTTCAGTAGCAGTGGTGTTATTCCTTTTATTACAGCGTGGGGTTGGTAGCCTTATGCTTAGACCTTTCTTCTTTACCGAGCTTCCTAACTACCAGTTAAACGAGGCTGAGGAATGTGCGTCGGTCGGTAATCGAAACCCAGACTACGTAGACGGTCGGCAAAGCATTCTACCGCTAACACATGCCTTATCTAAGTAGTGTCAGTCAATTCATGATGAAAAGTACTTTGAGTAATGTAAACACCTGTTTGCATTTATAGGTCGTATCACTGTATCTTATACTACAACCAACGAAGTGGTCTCAATGTTGAATTAATTTTTTCTTCGTAACCTCGAGTTCCGAGTAGAACACAGGGCTCCAGGCTTGAAATTTCAGTAGACGCCGTGTTATTTTTTTACACGGAGGGGTTGTCAGCCTTACACACAACCTTCCATTTTTCCCGAACTGACTTGTCGGTTATTAAAATTGGCGGTGTAGGAGTGCGTCGGTCGAGGATGGAGCCCTAGACGACGCTACTGAACTAATACTCACTAGTGACTGACTACAATATGAAGTTACTTGGAATTATAATGAGAAATCGTGACCACTAGTGGGACCCCCAACCTACGGTGTGAAGACAAACACTCGTCAATAACACTGGCTGGAAGTGGCTATATATATATATATATATATATATATATATATATATATATATATATATATGCGGTGAGAGCTGTCTGCAAGACAAAATTGTAGACAACAATTCACGTCAATGTTTACGTCCCAAATCGGCGTCATGAAAAAAAACAAGAACAAAGCCTAACCTTGAGGAACTCAACAACCAATCACAGCAGACTTAGCGTGGGCGGATACGATTCGCAGATATATCACCGAACTGTCTAAGAAACGGCAACAAAGAGATGACAGAATAACCTTCAGCAAGAAAACAACCAATCAGAAGACGTTGCTTCTCTGCTAACAATAACGAATAATAATGTACATAAAAATCTCTTAATATCTGTTGATTTTCTCAATAAACGATCTGTTGCCTAGAATTCATAGGCCCCTTTAATTTCATCTCAGTGGGTGAATATTCAACAGAATGATCTTGAAACTTAAGGATCCTGGATTCGATGGTGGTGGTGTCAGCGGGGGTGGGTGGGTGGTCAGAGGTGTGTCCCGCTGACGAGACCCCAACTACAACGAAATAGTTGCTCGGTACTCCCCTTTAATTTTCTTTAATTCATGTGACCAAAGTTGGCATAAATAAATTGTTATCAAAAATACAGAAAATGGTTTTGTTTAGAACATAAAAGATTTTAAAAAAACAAGTTTTATCATAAATTTTTCTTTTCTTTTCAAGGTAATAATCTTCTCATATACAATTCTATCATCATTATGTAATAAATAATGGATGACAAGCAAACAAAAGTTATGAATAAACAACTTTGAATACAATAATGATAATAATAATACTAATAATAATTTTAGTGAGGTTTGTCTAGTGGATATTTGTGTATTTACTCAGGGAAGAGCACAAAAACTTGGACTAAAAAGAAATCTGTCTAAACTGTGTGTGATATGTGCTCATATATAGAACAGAACAGAACAAAACAAAACAGATACTACTCATTTACTCAACTCAGACTAGATACACTTACAGTGTGTGTAGAGAGTAAAAACTGACAGACAAGACAGGACAAAAGGATTGGTGGCTTATGTATGTTTGGGGTAAAAAACACTTTTCTGGTAGACAGTGCTCCACTGAAAGTAATTATAAAACACACACACGCATACAGTAGTAAAGATAGCACTAACACACAAAAAATAGCCGAAATAAAGTATCCACTAACAAACAGTATTGTACCACTGAATAAACACTGACGACGAAATATGCGATCGCCTACAATCACTTTTTTACACTCATGTTTGGTTAAGTAGATTGAGAATTAAAAAAACAAACATTCAATATGGCCATGAAAATTAAAAACACATACTCTTCGGCTGTTTCAATACGCAAGCAATACAACTGAACAACTAACTGAAGTACATGTGTAAGCTATGGGCGCGCTATGAAACTGATTTATATATTAAAGCACATTAAACAATGATAACTTATCATATGAAACAACTAATAGAGAAGAGAAGATAAGCTAACTCTGTGTCAGTTGAATATATATATATATATATATTTCAAAGGGAACCTTCTCAATCTCAAAGATGGATAGGGAACAATAAAGAGACAGGCAGAAAGAGAGAGTGGAAGGAGTACACAGAAACAATACCAAGGTGACTACTGTTAATTGCGAAAAACGAATCTTGCAGAAAGGATAAAAATTTATTCTCTAATTGTAAATGATAGTACTGGGGGGGTGTCCCTTCCCCCGCCGCCTCGCTCCAAGAAACGAAGAAGAAGAAGCAGAACAAGGTGTAGGATAAACAAAATGTGAAGTGTTACACACATGAAAAGTACTCACTCATTCACTCACTCAACACACACATAGCTATCAATAATATGAGTAGGTAGACGTGATTGTAAGTTATTCAACTTGTTGTTCTATTGAAGTGTATATATACACACACCTCTGTGATGATAATTCAGTATATCTTCATTTATTTTTATTTTTTTAATATGGCAATTCAAATTTCACATCGATTGCAGCTTGACGAGCCAAATGAACAATATCAGCCAATTTAACAGACTAAAAATTAGAAGAAAAAAAAGTTAGAACAAACAGATATACGATTATAAATTACATAACAATAATGAGAACAACACTCAGATATGACATATAATTGCAATAACTAACAAAAAAGGGAAAATTGGGCGTCGTCCCCTTCGCGACTCCAAATCCAAGATACATAAACACTAGCGGTCAAAGGACACGACATTTATCCCTTCATTATTATCAATGCACATAGACAACTGTGGACACCAATTTGACTAGGAGAATGTAGAAATTTTACAAAAATGCCAAAGGAAACTACTGCTGTGAGCCTGGCTGATACTCAGACGAATCAGCGACCAAGAGACACACCACTATGGATGACCTTCTGGCTGACACCTTGAAGAAGAGGATATCTACTGCTCTCAGAAGGACATTCTTCGCTGCCACACTACGACTGACATTTTCCTCCCGGCCATTGTTCTTCAACTACTCTAAAGATAAACTATCGCATTTGACCACTTCCATGTGTATCTACCAATTCACCTGCTCTTGTGGAGCGAGGTATATAGGTCGTTCGATGCGTGTTTTATCTAAAAGAGTTCAAGAACACTATCCCGCCTGGCTACGGAAAGGTAACAACGGAGCAATAAGGAGCGCCATTATTGAGCATATACTCAACACTGGTCATTCGATTTGCAAGGAGAAGTCGTTCAAAGTCATCTATAAAGTCAAAAGAAGCCTTCCAAAATCGACAAGCTTCCGTATACTTTGTATTGCTGAAGCCTTAGCGATTTGGATGGAAAAGCCTGAGTTATGCACACAGAAGAAACTTCTCCACCCCCTCTTACTACCGTGGGTTTAATTCCAAGTTTATTTGTCATCAACATTTTGTTATCAAATTTTTTGCAATTTTCGTATAACAATTTTTAGTAACTAACCCATTCAATCTTTTCACCTATTATCTAGTTTATTTTCATAATTGTCTCCAAACTCCTTCACTAGCATCCAATCTTTCTAAACATGTCCATATTACGTAACTCTACTCACATCTTACCAATCTTTACCCCACTTAGTTACAACTTTGAGTATTAATCACACATTTTAACTTCTTCATTATTTTGATGATGTAACTCTACTCATATCTTACCAATCTTCACCCCACTTAGTTACAACTTTGAGTATTAATCACACATTTTAACTTCTTCATTATGTTGATGATATAATCAACAACCCATACTAACTGTTATTTTGATTTTGACAAACCTAATGTACACACACACACACACAAAATAATTGTATATATATTTGCGACTGTACAGCTAAGTGAATGAATTCGCCGAAAAGAGACTCTTCGCTGAACTAATTTGTTCTTATTTCAATGTCTTAATGGGTATATTTCGTGAATTAAATTTATGAACTAACAGAGAATAGGCCACATATCGAAATAAAAGTCAAATTCCAAGTCAATAAAAACGACCAATACTGGCAATTAAATCAACCAACTAGAACAGAAAACGCAAACACAATAAAAACTGTGCATTCCTACTACCTTACTTTATATCAACAATCACTTTCAGCTGAAATATGAGAATACTGACACAAGCTCAATGATCTTAGAGCAGACAGTCAGAATGAACTGGGTTAATAATTAAAGTGAGAAAAATCAATCCACCCATAGAGACAAAAAACTGTTCAAAGATGTGTAAGAATATTAAACAGAATCCTTATTTTAAAATGTTACCAGAATAATTTTCACTTTTTCATAGGAAAATTAGTATTCTATCAAATTAGGTTTAGGAGTTAAGCTTCGGGGTTTGGTTTTAGGCGATTTTTACGGATTAAATCCAAAAATCGATGACCACACTGGATGAATGTTCCAAAGTTGAAATGAGACATAGTGACCAGTGTACAGTCCACCATGTTAAGGTGAAGTAAATGGTTATCGAAGGCATTAACTGGCGATAGCGTTATATCACAAATAAACAGAAATTAGATTCATGTAGTTCGCAAATTAATTTGCAATTTACACACAGTTTGCGAGACTAGATGTAATCACAATTTCCACTTGGAAACCAAAATAACTCCGATCACTATTATGTGATCTGCTTGATAGCATCGATGTGTTAATCAAGAAGGCAATCATAAATTGCATGAATTCATAGCCTGACGCGGCTCTCCCTGAGTTGAGTCGAACCGGGTACACAGCTGATGAACTTGAATAAAAGTGAGCGAAACAGTCGTCCGGTGGTGTTTAGGTCATTTAGATTTGGTTAGCAAGCACTGATATCACTGAATTCTGCCACAGGTGTCTTGTAATCTGAAGATCCCGGATACGGTCCTTAGTGGGGTTATGGTTGTCCGCTCCTGAAGAGTACCACAATAGAATGCAACAGCTACACCCAGTGTTACTGAGTTCCAATATTCTCTAACTGATGTTGCTTCATGACAAAATTTATATTGAAATGAATCTGTTGTGTTTGTCCTGAACAGTAGTCAAAATAAATTGGTTTTTTTCGCCAGCTACACAGAATCTAATTGACCTCGTCACAATGTCGTCCATCCGCCTTACTATTCTTTAGCTTCTCCTACTTGCATTTCCATGCAGTTGGCAATAAGCCACTTCTATATCTGACTGTCTGAATCTCGGTATGTGGAGAGAAATCTCAACCTGTGATTCGATGATTGCAGAGCATAAACTAATGAACTACAGATCTACGAACATTACGATACATTAACACTCAGACTGCAAAATAATGAAAATAAGACAAAATATCACACATATGATGACGGACAACCAAACACTAACGATGCTTAATTTCTATCAATAGCTTTTCTATCACTATTCCATTTTCAAATATTTAAGAGTCAGGATTTGAGGCGAACGAAGGCCTGTAAAATACTAGTCCGGAGGTTATTGTGACTCACATTTTTATTTCACTTTCAAGCATTTACACATAACAATACCACAGTCTGCTAACGCCAAGATTATCTCAAATAGTTTCACAATGAATGCATATATTTTATGTACTGTCACTTTCCCCCGACCGAAAGCTGCTACCTTGACATGGTGGTCGGGCTTGAACACCGCAATGACCCAACAAGCTATACTGGCTGGAACTTATGTTCCTGTAGGTCCTACCATGCCAGAAAGGTTGTTTGGATAACGGTTAGACTAAAAGCAGTTACCCAATCCAATCCTATGACTCCAAATAAATCACAAAATATCATGCCGGATCGGTCGGGGCCCGGATTAACAACGACCGCGCTTCCTGCTGCCGTGTCACAGGGCAGAAGTAATAAATGTGCTACTGAGACACACCGAATGAAAAAGAACAAACAAAAACAGGCCGTGTGTGACCGGCCTCAAGCAGTTGTCCCCTGGGCTCTGCGGTCAAGCAACCAACTTCCACGGTGTGGGCAGCCGGGAAGTAACAATCGCCCTCACAATCCGAAGTGAACGCGAAACCTCTCTAATCTTCACTCATCTTTGTCTTCATCTTCATCTCTATTATCTTGCCTTCCTTCTACTAATGCAACTCCTCTACTTAATGGCTCTTCACTTCCTCTTCACTCTGTGTGCACTGAAAACGACGGAAGCCAAAAAACCACCATCGACTGTCATTTTCTGTCCCAATTTATAATTTAGCAGAACATGAAATATTCACTGCTTACATCCTCGAATAAACCAATCAACATACTTCAAAATTGGAAGAAAAGTAATTAGGGTGTTCATGTAGTGGTATGTGTTACTGACAAGATTTATCAGTAGTATCTGAAGAGACGTTCATCGGCATAAAAATATCAAATAACTGAAAGATGGACTTGAAGTCAAAGAGAATAATTAAACCGGTGTTGCAGCGAAATATGCGAGACAAGAAAAGAAGACAAAGAAACACGATACGAAGGGGGCAGAAGTAACGTAACACCGAAGATCAGTGTAAATGACGTATACATAATTTCCCCATATGTTTATGTCAAATTCCTAATAAGCATTCCGTTACCAAGTCTCTTGTCTTTTCTCGTTACAATGTAAATATCAGATTGGTTAATACGATTAAATCAATAGGAAAATGTTTCCTAAAAAAACCTGAAAAATTGTGGTCATTCGCGTTTATATACACGCATATATATACATATATATCGACCAAAGAATGGAGAATTAAAAGTCATCCTCCAAAAAATGTATGCCGATAATAATAATACGAAGAATATGCTATTGTAAAAATATAGACAACAATGTTTCTGTATGCAATTATTATTATTGTTCCCTTGGGTTCCTAGTGGAACATAGGGCTTCAACTACACGTTTCCACTTGCTTCTGTCTTCTGCTGTACTTTTCACCTGCATCCATGTTAATCCATACTGTTTCAACTCTTCTTCACACGATCTCCTCCATGTCACCCTTGGACGTCCCACTCACCGCTTCCCTTTCGGGTTCCACTCGAGCACTGGCCTGACGCGCGATGTCACCCAGTGGCCTCCTCAGCTCAGCGAGTGTCCAATCCATCTCCACTTTCTCCTGCATATTTGTTGGGCGATTGGTTCTTGTTCTGTTTGTTCCCATAGTTTCTTGTTGGTGATTCTTTCCGGCCATCTGATCTTCAGTACAGAGCGAAGACAGTTGTTGGTAAAGGTCTGCAACAGGCTGTTGGAAATATTCTTTGTGATCCGCCAAGTTTCTGATCCGTATAGAAGAACTGACTTGACGTTTGTATTGAAAATCCGAATTTTGTTGTTGATGCAGGCTGAGTGACGAAGATTTCCAGATTGGTTTTAAAAATAAAATACAGATTACTACAAAATTTTCCGGGTACTGGGGTATGTGCGACAGCTGATGAGACTTCCCATAAGCTCAGGTTGGAATGCGATGGGATTTGTGGACTTAGAACTCTCTGGCCGAAAGTCAAGTGCCAAGACAGATGAACCACTTCTTAACCCATACAGACTAACCGAAACATGCTTAACTAGATGTCTCGTGAGTGTGTGCAATTACCAAATACGGTTCATTATTTTTACAAAGTTGCCAGAAATTCACACGTATAGCTACTTTTTTCAATGGAACAGAAGAAAGTAATAAATGTGTAAAACTAGGGCGCTGTGGTAGTATGCAATTCCATATAATTCCATATTAGGGGCACTAGAATTTTCCAGATGTCTGGGACAGGTGTTGAATCATTCCTATTACACGTATTCTCTAGTTGATTCGATAAATAAAAAGCTTCCGCTATCAACCTACCCCTCTACCCTGTTGCATTAAACTTTAAGACTATTATCTTATCCTATCCTATTATACGGTTGATGTGTGTAACTAATTGTAGTGTTATAGCAGAGTTGTTTTCTAGATTTCTCACCCTATTAGTTTCAACTAATCTACACCGACGCCTAGATTAGAAATAGGAAGTGAAGTGGTAGAGCGTGTTGACCACTTCACTTATTTTGGAAGTACGATCAGCCAGTGCCAAAGGGTTGATCGCTGACGAAATCTCAACACGAATACAGAGGGCTAGTTTCGCATATGTCAGTTTACGCCGTCTCTGGCGTAGACGTGATATCCACCTAACTGGCTGTCGACCAAAAGGTGTATGTACTGCTCAGCAGTCCGCTCCGTCCTCCTTTATGGCTGACTGTGAGACCTGGCCATTGAGAGTGGAAGACATGAAAAGGGTGGCTAGCTATCTTTGATCATAGGTGTCTGCGTTCTATCTCTTGTGTTAAGGGGTTTAATAGGGTGAGCAATATTGAGGTTAGGCGTCGAGTGCTAGATAGGTGGGAGGGGAAATCAATCGACGAGGCTGTGAAATTACATCGACTGAGATAGTTAGGACGCGTTACGTATGCCTAGTCACTGCCTTCCTCGACGAGCAATGTTAGCTGATATAAGGTCAGGCTGGAAAACAGCCAGCGGCGGTCAAACCAAAACATGCCACCAGTCAATGAAATCTACAACAGTTATTTTAAGCCAGCCACGTCGGGAAATGTAGACTTCCTGACTGGTTGGGGTCCTCGAGACGGTAAAAACGAATGACTGGAAACAATTGGTGATATGGCTCAATATCGTTCTCAATGGCGCAGATGTATCCGCTCCTTGTGACTTATGATTTCCAATGAAACTGTTTTGTTCTTCGTTATTATTATACCTTTGTCTCACACCTCTCTTTACTGTCTATATTATGCATTTCGTCTACTTACTTCTGTTGCTTTGTGTGCTACATGGAGGGAGTGTGGCGACTTGAACTGCCGCACATATGTGTAAAGTTCTATGTCGAAAACAGACAGACAGGCAGCTAATCTAGATTTATAGATTATGAGTTTTGTCGGGGTTCAGGTTAATTTTTATGTATATTTTGTCACGGACCGACATCAATTAGAGATAAGTGAAAACTAGGGGGCAATGAACAGTTGTTTCGTCCTAACTCCAGACTCTTCAGCAGCGCACACCGATTGCCCACCCATAGGTTTGCTAGGTTTCTTTGCCCCGCTAATCTAAATGAACTCATTCGCCTCCTTTTAATTATGTATTTGACCACACAATCATTACAGGATACTAGATAAACTAAACATCATCTAGTAAATAATACTATTTTATCATTTGATAGATCCAACAACCAAATTAATATGGAACAATAAGAAATATCTGAGAAGTTTATGCATTTATCTCATTTGATTCAATTTTATACACGGAAGCTACGGCAAACATACAGTTATCAGTTATCATTGCCTGTGTTCAACATCACGTATACAACAACGCTTCAATAAGAGTCCGACTCAGATAAAGGTATTTATCGAGAGATTTGATTTCATATGCCTTCATAAGATTTCTCGGAGTGATGAGCGCTTAATATAATCATCTTAAAACACTATCTTCCCTTTTGCTGCTTACATCATACACATGGAATAACAGCGGCCTGTTTGAACCCCTGAATACCTGAATTTCCATTCGGGATAATGCATCTTATTTTCTTACTTCTTGTTGGCATTATCATTCAATTATGTTGGTAGATTGTCAAATGTACTTATGCACATTTTCAAATGGTTTGCACCCTTCGTTGCTGCTTTTTGAGGGACCAAAGAAAGATACCGCGTAATGGATTATTTTACTCTTCAGATCGAATAGCATTGTGTCATATGATTTATAGGAGATGGCTGTTTTACTTAGAACTCCTGGGATGAAGAGAGAAAATATTATGCAATAAAGTAGGCTGAAAATTGTGTAAACTTATTGTGCAGAATAAAGTTATTATTACTATTTTTATTATTGTGAATCATCGGCAATATGCAACCATTGGGGGTTTGAACCCAGGACCTTCCGGTTACAAGGCAAGCTAGCTCGTATACCCATTCAGCTACTCACTGGGACCTGATTCAGTGGCCAGTTCATGAATTATAACTTCTACTAATTCGTGATTTAGCGCGACCACCAACCAATTTCATCGTCACTGTTATTATTACATACTATCCAATAAAAAAAGAGGCACACATTAACAGAAAGGTGAAATAAAAAATATAGTGGAAAAAAATATCCATCAACAAAAACAACAACAACGCCGGGACGTACCATATGAGCAGCTTCATCCAAATCACTGCATCCTAAAATTTTCATATCACTACTGGCAATAATTGCTTTGGCGTCTTCAACTCTGGTTCCTAGGGATTGATCATATTCAAGTGAGAAAAATATTATTTTTTTTAAAAAAGAGAACGAAATGAGAGAAAAAGGATAATTAAAATAATTATTTAGAGTAAAAAAATCTATGTGCACATAGTGGATACACACTTTTCTTAAATAGGATTAATAATAATAGATACTTGACTTTGAAAAGGCCTTCGATAGCGCAGCTTCGATCGAGTGGTGATTTGGCAATTACTTCGCTACTACTAGGGGGTGCCACCAACAATTATTCATCTCATACAACAGTTGTAAGACAATGCTGCATTCCAAGTAATCCACAACAGGAAACTCACGGAATCCTTCGAAGTGAAGACGGGAGTAAGACAAGCTGGCTGGCTGCCTACTATCTCCAATGATTTTCTGATTGCGGTAGACTGGGTAATCCGACAGACAGCGGGCAGTGAGAAAACAGGCATAAAATGGACCCACATAAAAAACTTGGAGGATCTGGAGGATATATATCTGATTTCCCACATACTGGGAGGTATGTAAGTGATAAGCAACAAGTTGGCAGAAGAAGTATCAAAGATAGGAGGGACTTCAGGTGAACATAGAGAAAACAGAGGTGATGAAGATTTCTGGCCAACAGCACTAACAACAACAGACAACAATCAGCATAAATGCGAGGAATCTGAAAGAAACAACCTACTTCACCTACCTGGGAAGCATCGGCTCAACTACTGGCGGAGGGAACTGACGAGGATATCAAAGCGAGGATCAGGAAAGCAAAGCAAGCTTTCATTTTTCTCAAGTTTGTGTGGAGATCAACAGCACTCAGTATGAAAAATGAGATGCGGATTTTCAACTCCAATAGGAAGTCAGTGCTACTCATTATACGGATCAGAGACTTGGTGCCGCGTGACAACGGGCACTTCGAACAAACTACAGACTTTCATCAACAGTTGTGTTCACTCAATACTCAAGATTAGGTGGTCAGGAAAGATCAGTAACAGGGATCTCTGGGAACGAACCAACCACCAACCATTTGTGCAAGAAATATGTAGGAAAAATGGAAATAGATTGGCCTTACTCTGAGAAAACAAACCACTAAGTGACATCACACGCCAGGCCATCGCTCGAGTGTAACCTGAATGGGAAGTGACGAGTTGGTCGTCAGTGCGACAATGACATGGAAGAGGGGATGAAAGCATGTGGGCAGACGTGGAGCCGGGTGGAAACGTTGCCAGAGAACCGACTGCAATGGAGGCGTGTCGCTGAAGCCCTATGTTCCTCTAAGAACTAAAGGAAACAATAATATAATAATGTTTTGTTGAAGCTAATCCAGTATATATTTTATTCACTTTAGACTATTAGAGGTAATTTACAAAAAAGGCTAGACAACATTCGTGTTGGTATATGTCTGTAAGACAAATCTGAAATCGTAGCGGTGGAATAGCTTATCCGAACAATACAACAGAATCTTGGTTTGAGACATTTTGATCCCGCTGGGAGGTCTAATCCAGTGCCTTTGTGTTAGAAGGTGAGCATGTTACCACAGCCCAATAACCTATGAATCGTAACTTCCGTGAATTTGCGGTATAGTGCCATTACCAAACAATATTGACGGTGAATAACTGCCTTCACATGCAACTTCTTGGATTCACACAAGGTAAGACTTTCCATTAGATTTCAAAGAAGTAACTCGTGAGTAGTGGATTAGTTTTCCCAAAAACTGAAAGTTAAAAGATGATAGCGAAGACTTTCAGTTGATAAGTCAATAGATTTCATTATGAGCTGACATCAGTTAGAGAACCACTGGAAAACCTGCAGGGAGTACTGGACAGCTGTTTCGTCCTAGTTTAGGACTCTTCATCAGTACGCACCCATCGGGATTCGAACCCAGGGCCTTCTGGTTACAAGGCGAACAGTTAATAATTACAAACAATTGATCAATAAAACATACGTAAGCTTAGGTCAAGTTAACCCCGTTGTTTCTAGTATATATGCATTAGTGTGTATGTGTTAGTTGAGAGTAATCAATCAATAATAAAGGGGTATTTGTAACATTAGAAAGACTTACATCTCCTTAAAAAAATTGGAAAAGGTGTCTTACTGGTTGTCAAAATCTACGGAATTCATCAATTCCTAATTTATATACTGGGTGTAATGTGAATGACAGAAAAATTTTTTCCAGTGAAATCTCTCACAACCTCTTAATTAAAACAGTCAACAAGCAAGGGAGTCTTCCAATCAGATGTCATTTTACCTTTCTGCCAACTAGGGCTAACAAGTGTAGCATCGCATAACCTGTTAATTACTCTTGTGTAAGGAACCACCATGTAGGGCTAATCACACATGTGCCCAATATTATTTATTTATGATTCTATTTCTAAATACGTATATGAACACTTCATTTCATATTCAGAAGCACAAAGAAAAGACGTGTCATGAAACTATAGTTGGGGGAAATGTACGCTTCAGACAATAATTAGATGATATTTAGAACTTGGATGATAGAAGTGAATTGGAATGCATCTGCCTTATTGCGAAAAATTCCAAGCCATGTCACAAACGATCTCCGTCCATTCATCCTGAGCATCCCAAGAACCTTAGCCAGGCAATCTACTCTTCTAAACCAACAGTCAAACAATTCAGAGACTGAAGGCACGTTCCTTGATGTCACCACTTCTAACACTTTCTCACCCTAATCCTATATGATCAGCTGGCGTTATAGGTTGAAGAAGACAGCATGCGCAACACATGTCTTAGCCATCTCAGCTGGTGCAAGTTCGTCATATCATCAATTGGTTCTTGCTGTTTACGTGATACTCGACGCTTAACTCCATTATTACTGACAATAAGATACCACCTAACACGAGAAATTGAACGGATGTACACCTGTAACGAAAACCACTAATTTTCTCATCGTGTCTAACCCCAACAGTCATTTCTTGCAACCGTACTCTAGGGTACAGTTAACTTCTGTACGATACACAATTCTTTTTGAAGGATAGTCAGATATCACAGCCGTACTAAAGATGACAAATTTTGGTGCATACTAAACGAGACGTTTGTATCCGAACTGTAATATATACATAAGGAGAGAAAGAAACATACAACAATAATAATCACCTTGTAATCGTACAACAATTGGCACTTTAATATTTAATTCCGTAGCAGCAGCTACAATTCCTTGAGCAATTACATCACAACGCATAATACCACCAAATATATTCACAAGAATTGCATGAACTTTAGGATCAGATGTTATCAAACGAAAAGCTTCAGTAACTTGAGCTGCTGTTGCACCACCACCAACATCAAGAAAATTTGCTGGACTACCACCGTGTAGTTGGATGAGATCCATTGTAGCCATTGCTAAACCAGCTCCATTAACTAAATAAGAAAATAATATTTGAATTATAGGTTTTTTTTGTATAGGGATTGGGATTCATTTCATTGTCATCTTGCTCACGAACCGAAATCAGTTAAAGATGATTGAGAACCAGAAAGCACAGAACGATTGTTTCGTCCTAGTGTGGGACTCCTCAGGATTGCATGCCAAGACCCCAAGAGGGGTCGAACCCTGGACCTTCAGGTTACGACATTAGGCTCGCTTGACTATTCACAGCCACTTGGGGTGGAATTCAAGAGAAGAGTCCCACACTACAACGAAACAGCTGTCCAACACTACGTGGTTTTCAATGATCTCTAGTTGATGTTGGTCCGTGATGCAATCATCATTGAAGAAAACAGTAATAAATCAAATAACACAGTGAATAAATCTTGTATGTTTTTTGTGATAAAGGTTAATTATCGAAGAGTTCAGCTCCACCCACACGCATACACTTGTACATGAAGAAACTCAGTCATGTGGTGATAACGTGAAGTGAGAAAACGAATTAAGTAAACATATAAACGCATATTGATTTTAAGCTTTGATAAATAATTATTTTGGATAAACCAAAAAAAGCCGTTTGTTCAGAAAAAGATGAGGTCATCATTTATTTCGTCAATTCCTCTTTGGTATGCATAAAAGATGCTAAGGTGACGAAATGTCAGTTAACAGGAGACTCCAAATTTAATAAACGCTTACATAACTTATTTACAGAAGGTTTGAGTTTGTACAAAAAAAAAATAAATGTTTGGATGACTGACTGACTGGTCTCAACATAGAACTTTGCACACATGTGCAGCAATTCGAGTCATCACACTCTGTGTACCACACAAAGCAAGAGAAGAAAGTAAAAAGAGATTCAAAACAGAGATATGAAGCAAAAAGCATAATAATATTGAAGAAGTATATAGTTTTATTGGAAATTATAAGTCACAAGGAGTGGATGCATCTGTGCCCCATCATTGAGAACGATTTTGAGCCATATCACCAATTGTCTCCAGTCATTCGTTTTTACCGTCCCGAGGACCCCAACCAGTTAAGAAGTCTACACCAACCTACGTGACTGGCTGGCTTAAACTAACTGTTGTGGATTTCATTGACTGATGAAGCCATGTTTTGGTTTGACCGCCGCTAGCTCTTTTCCAGTCTGACCCTATGTCAGCTAACACTGCCCGTTGAGGAAGGTGATGACTAGGCATACGTAACACATGGGAGAAGTGATTTCTTTTAGATTTTAGCCTAGATAACTGACTGAAACTATTAACCCCCCCCCTCCCCGCGTACAACAACAAGTGTGTGGTTCACAGTTTGACAGCTCGATTACGAAAACATGTCATTCAAGTAGCAGAACACTGACAAGGATGTAATTGGCTTCATGTTAGAAGAAATGTTTCACACTTCCTTTCACATTTACTGAAAAAAGTATAATCATTAACTGTTCCTACCAACGATATATCGATCAAACCAAACAAAGGAAAAGACTCAACTTCATTGACACATTACATTACAAGGCACTATACAACCCATCTAAATAAGGGCAGATAAGAAATTAACATTGTAAGACTGATTGATATGCTTTATGATAACGCAGAAGACTATTGAACTTATCATTAGATAGTGAACATGATTTCCAGTGTACTTCAAACAGTAGATCAAAAATGATTAGTTAGAGAAATCATATCTATACTAGCAAGAATTAAAAGATGAGTTCATCATTCATTAAGTTCAACCCATGTTAAAAACATGATAAGTCAAATGTTAAAAAGGTCATGAAATCTGACCTTTTCAATTGAATTCTACTGATCAATAAGGTAGGGAGTTACCAATCGTGCATAAAATAGTATAAGTCTTATTAGTTATATTGCAACTCATTATTTACTAAGAATAGATTTCACATGTACAAAGATATGAGTTGACGATACTAACCATTTGATTGGGCTAAAGTAGGCGCGCAGTAGGATTCGAATCCAGGACGCATTAACTGGAAGTTAAGTGGCTTTAGCCATTAAACCCTATCAGCATATATGTCCTGCGACTAAATGAACTCCTTCAGACATCTATAAAACACAAAATAATCGAGCAAAGAATATTCTTTTCGATAAATTCCTCTTCTGGCTCTACAATTATATATATGTATATATATAATATGGATCCCCACAGCCTCAGCAATGTTTAGTAGTCGAACTCTTAAGGCAAAATTGAGGTTCGTAGGTATGCGGTAAATTACCCTGAAAGCATGGTTAACGTCAATTAGGCAGATTGTCTTTTACTCCCGAACTCAAAAGAGGAGTGGTTCTAAAGATACAGCGTAATTCGGCAGCAGGGAATGCTTTTTTACCGCATTTCTAAGGCAGTGTGTTAGTATCCCGCTGGTTTTGTCCCCAAGGAACTGCATTTGTAAGAACTGCCTCTTCCATGTGTATCTACCAATTTAAATGCTACTGTGGAATGAGCCAGTTACATAGGCCGTACAACTAGGTGTGTTTCTCATCGAATTTCCGAACATCATCCTGCATGGTTAAGCGAAGGACAAACAAAATCTATTCGCAGCGCTATTCTATCTCATCTTGTGGATACAGAACATAAGATTGACGTTAACCATGCTTTCAGGGTTATTTACCGCATACCTACGAACCTCAATTTCGCCTTAAGAGTTCGACTACCAAATATTGCTGAGGCTGTAGGGATCCATATTAACAATCCTGATTTATGCATCCAAAAGAAGTTAGTTCAGACATTATCATAACCTCGGCCATCTAGGTTTGAATGATCCTGAATTTTTGTGGAAGTTTCCTAAGTTTAGTTGATATTCTATTTGCTACTATATCTTTATTATTATTATAATTTAAGCATCTTTAATGAACTGTAACTCCATTGATCTTACTTTACAAATCGATATTATTTTTTTAAAAAAGCACTAATATTGTTATTGACTTCTAATTTAGAATATTCTGTGTATATAAACATATATATATATATAATTGTAGAGCCAGAAGAGGAATTTATCGAAAAGAATATTCTTTGCTCGATTATTTTGTGTTTTATAGATGAATTCCATTGAAATATAGATATTTGGAGGGAGAGGTTAATCACCAAATCCTTGTTCATCGAATCAATACCGAACAAATGCAAGCAGAATGACACAACACATATACCAGATATATGAAAAGTTGCAGTAAATTACAGAAGGGAATTTAAATACATAGAGCAAATTTGGTGGATGATGAATAGCAGTGTAATCCAAGATGAGCATTTCTTCCTATTCGGGACTCGTTATTCGGATGTACCTGCATTCCCCACTGAGGCTCGAACCCAGTACTCATCACTTCAAAGTGTTATCCAGGAGGCCACTTTAACAAATAATAAGTGATATCTATTGCACAAGAGGTGCATCTCGCAGCCTAAATGGGAAAACCACCACTCATGGGGGGAATGCAGGTACACCCAGATGACGAGTCCCGAGCAGGACGACGTACGCATCCTGGATCCCACTGCTAGCCACCATCCACCAACTCACTCTTCAAGTTAAATTCTCAGACATCGTCGAAGCATCCGCATAAGGAGCCGAGATATCAACAGAGGCCAAGCACTTCGGTCCAATGAATAAACGGAAGAGTTCAAATTGAATTGAATAATAATATAGAGCAAAGTTATCAAGTCGTGTCAATATATTGATTTGATTATGTAATCAGCAAATTGTGTACAAAACATCATCCCAGTTATGAATACTGGTATATCACTGTGTATGTTTTATGAAATAGACATATCTAGTATATGGAAAAGTAGAATTCCAAGGAAAGGATGAAGATGTCAACACCAGTCAGAATTGGAAAGGCAAGGTAAGATACGCCTTCATCAACCTGAAACCAGTTTGGAAATCTTCTGCACTGTACTTAGCCAGCGTAAAGAATAAGATTCGGATTTTCAACACAAATGTGAAGTCAGTCAGTATTTCTATGTGGGTCAGAAACTTAGTGTGTCACGAAAAGCATTTCGAACAAGTTACAGACTTTTATCAACAGCTGCCACTTTCTCTGGCTGGCTCCATACTGAAGATCAAATGGCTAACCGGCCAGAAATAATTAACGATAAGAAACTCTGGCTGCCGACGAACCAACCAAGAGCCGATTGCTCAACATATATGTAGGATAAAATGGAGATGGATCGGGTATAAGTTGAGGAGGCCATCAAATGACATCACACGCAATCCAGGCCATCGCTCAAGGGGAATCTCAATGGCAAGAGACAAGTGGGTCGTCTGTGCAAGGGTGGCATGGAAGAGAACGTGCGAAGAGGAGGTGAGAGATAATGGGCAATCGTGGACTCAGCTGAAGAGGACAGCAGGAAATAGAAGTGGAGATGTGTTGTTGAAGCCCTATGTTCCACTCGGAACCCAAGGGAATAATACAATAATAATAATAATAATAGAATAGACCTACCTAAACAACCAATATTCCCATCTAAACCAATATAATTCAATCCAGCATTAGTTGCTTTCACATCACGTTCATCCTCTTGAGTCCAATCACGTTGTGCAAAAATCTCTTTCTGTCTAAATGCAGCATTATCATCAAAATTCATTTTACAATCCATACACAGAACTATATGAGAAGGAAAAAACAAAAACAAAGAATAAGATTATAGTTCCACGTTATGATTAGTCTCCATAGTTAATTCAAATTTTTTAAAAACATACTGATAAAATTAATTTATAATGCAAGACATTAATTCAGTACAGAGCTTCTCTGTGTACTGGTCTGTGAGTTAGGCTAGATATCTTCAAGTTTATGACACTACTCTTTGTCACCGACTGCAACTAACTACACTACAAATAACAGTTAACCACGTATATCTCTAAGAATTATTCGATGAAACAATAGCACCCTATATTCATTATTCATATAGCCCAAAAGTTTATGCATTAATAGGAGTGCATTTATCTAAAAGATTGCCAGCATCGTTCAACATTTTCTCAAAGTCCCTAACTAACAACACCAGTGTCTTCAGAAGAAAATCTCAGATGCTGGAAATAAAATAAACCCCAACAACCTAATCTTCTAACAAAGTGATGAAAGGCTACTTCAACTAATCAACCCTGCCACAGAACCACCTTACATTCAAATTATCTTTTCTTAATTTTTATGTGATAATAACAATGTTGCTTTTAGTATTCATTTAGAGTACTATAGAGTATAGTATAGCTAAGCTTCATATTTCATTTTGTTTTTCAAGCATGAATGAATGTACGCATATAAATATGATAAACAACACAATCATGTGAACTATTATACTACACGTCGACTGTTATCGTGCAATATTTCACGATCTAGTACGCCCGACAGTCAGTGCACACCACATCGCTCCTGAAAACTCTCTTGCCCATAATCTCTTCCAGAAATAACCTACTCATTGGTCTAATGTGATGGGGAAACAGAATGAATACCCAAGTCTTATTATTGGATTGCAGAACATTCTAGGGAAAAAAGCTAGCGAACACGGGACTCAGGATTCCAAAAGAAGGAATGGTGTATAAAACTAGGCGTGCCTAGTTACTTGAAAATATTACTATTTAGCGCTTGACATTGCTGCATTTGTGGATCACACTTCAAATAGAAAGCTTATCTAGTAGCCTAAAGCAACCACCTGCTTTGATTTAGGTGTCAAGGCAGTATCTCGACACTCAAACAAAATATACAATGACAACGCCGTGAAATTCTTTATTATTAATGAACACTACGTGAACTATATATTCAAACATCCAATTCACTAGCATTAGACTGTTTTTGTTATTCTCAAAAGAACTATATTTTCTTTTCTTTTGATCATTCTTACTCTTACTTGATCAAGCTGTTGTTAGTCAGGGTTTGAAATTCTTTTCTGTCTGTATCACATTAAGACGCGTTGGATAATTAACATTTCCGAAAGCTGACCTTTAGAACACGACTATTTTTACATGGATCTTGCCTAACTTTGCCGTATAAGACATTTCGCAACTTCATGCAAATTGAACAATAGATGGATTTAGTAAGAACGAGGAAAAACCACTACGAATGAGGTCCTTAGATAAATTAGCTTCAAAAGCATTTTCCATCAGTAAAGGTGTTTGGCCTACCTCGATTCGCTGTTTTACCATGGAGTAAACTACTCTATTCAACTGCCTTCTACCCATCAACGGTTAGTTATATATGCTGTTAAACTGGGAAGGGGTTCAACTAAAATAAGAGATGATTGGCAGAGGAAACGATATCTTTTTGTCATCTGTCTGTGCCTGCACTTCGACGGTTGCAATTAAGGATGAGTTGTAATAATTACTGTTAAGATATGAAACAAATACGCTTGATAGATTTTGTAGTGTCAGTCGATAACCTGAATGCACGGGTCGTATATTTAGACTTCAACGAGGTGCACCTAGGTTGCTGTAGATCACGGTCTATTTCTCCGTAGCACCAATTTTAAACGAATACCACTGCTAAGTGGCGCTTGATGTTCCAGCTTCGTTACTCAAGTTTGGACTAAAAGACATCAAAATGTAATCAGTTGTTGAACCAAGTTTATTAAATGTATAATTATATCGAGTTCGGAAGTGAAACAACACAACTACTGATAAGGATTTAATTAAGTAACTAAGAAGTTTTATCATTATAACAGAATTCGCAATGATGTATTACGAACCCATGTCAATAAATATGGGGAATATAGAGGAATTAATGGGTGGTAGGATTTAAATTTTATAACTCATCGAAAGCTACCAAAAGCCTTTGGCTAAGTAAAATCCAAGATGAATTCCAGTTTTTATACTCTTACATCGTATATCTATCATTATTCTTGCTTAATAATATTGTGGCGAGTGCTACTGATAAGATTTATCAGTAGTATATAAAGAGACATTCATCGGCATGAAAAACATCAAATAGTAGGGAGATACATTTGATTTCAGAGAAGGTAAATGATAAAGCGTTGTGGATATACACGAAAGACGTGAAATGAACACAGAGAAAGACGACATGAAGTCCAGAAGTACCACAACATGAAGATTTGTGCAAATGTTGCGTTGAAGATGAGGTATACACAATTTGCCTATATTGAGATACCAATTCCCAACCTAACATTCCTTTACCAAGCCTTTCATCTTCTACCATTTCAATATTGCTTCTACACATATAGTTTGATAAAATCAGTATAGTATAAGTAGTTTATTGAATAGCAGTTAAAATTCACGAACCACTATTCAGACTAATAGCTAATAGCTACATTGATTCGCTTTGCGTTTTCTGATATGGTTTTATTAACATCTCCTTAATCCCATTTCTCAATTAAGTCACGATGTAGAACTGTGGCTTAGTGGTGGTCCAGGCATTTCACTGACTCCCACGGGGTTGAATCACGTTCCACCAGGTGGTATCATTAGCGCTCACACACAGACAAAGTATTCCTTGTGCCAGTAGCATGTCAATGCAAGTGACATTTTCTTTCTTTCCCATATTCGCTCACGACGATAACAACTTAATACACAGGGAATATCATAAAAAACTTTCTGATTCATCATATTATCGAAATCTTCATCAAAGATATACACTCACACTTTGAAAGAAACGATATGGATATCAAAATGAACATGGATGATATTGAAAAATGCTTATGTCTGGTGTATCGATGGTGCTATATAGTTCTTCCATATTACTACATTTTTGCCTCATATCTCTGTTTACTGTCTCTGTTCTGCACTTTTTTTTCTTTCTTCTCTTCTTTTGTTTGCTAAGTGAAGTGTGGCGACTGGAACTGCTGCATATCGGTGCAAATTTCTACGTTGAAACCAATGAGTCAGTCAGTATCGATGATTCGCTGGTAGAATGCTCCTGAATCATATAAGCAGTCCGAGTTCGACGCCCAGCCGACGTACTGTTAAACACCTTGCGTAGCCAATGGTAAGCCCGAAAAAGAGGGGAGGTTAGGAGTGAGTCTAGCAACCCCAACCTGTGAAATAACACCAGCGCTACAGAAACGTAGACTTCAAACATTATCCTCCACTTGAAACCCAATGGAATGGAAATACTACTACGACTAATAATGCTAATAATAATAATAATAAGAGTAAGAATAAAGTAATAAGAACATACCATTTCCTTTAATATCTTGAGAAATCGGATTAATTTCCAATAGTGTACAATCAGATGTGATAAATAGTTTATATAATCGTTCAATGTAGTCTGCAGCTAGTTCAGCATGTGCTAAGCCTAATTGTTGTGCCATAAATAATGCATCTTTTCTACTCAAACCTTTATCGATATCAACTGGAATCTGTAAATACAAATCAAACAAAAAACAAACAAACAGAGAAACAGACAATTTTTTAATGAAGAACACATAAGATAAAATTGTCATAAAAATGTATTGTTTAAGTTAATTTGTGTTTCCTGTAGATGGATTATGTGCGACTGAAATGCTTGGTCTCTATTGACATTTCTTCAGTGACATTTGAAGACTAACATGATGTTATGTTTTGTTCATGGGGAGGATCCTGGATTTCACTGCTAATTACCAATGGTATAAGAGGTGACTTTTGTGGCTCAGTTTGAAACGATGTATGTAGCGCTCAAGTCTCAGTAGTAACACTATTATTCATTGAAACTGTAGGTACATCCACATAACGAGTCCCGAATAGGACGAAATATAAATTCTGGAGATTCCACTGCTAGTCAATACCAACTAAAACTGTCATATAACTTATTATTTTAAAAATTAACCATAAATTATGCTTCACATTTTAGAAAAGTAGTTCGACGGTAGAATGCTCACTGTAACCACCCGGCAGGTTCTGTCTCGCCTCATTTACTAGCCGGTAGTGAGTCCTGAAAAGATGGAATGTTAGATGTGGGGCTACTGAGACTGCGAAGGCTTGATGGCTTGCCTATTTTCCACTCGGAGTGCGAGAAATAAAAAAGCAATAATAGCAACATTAGATTGTATTTGACACTAAACTGCTCTATTCTATACTTCAGGTACAAGTTACACAACTGATTATCCGATATTATTATTATTATTATTACAGGGGAATTATAGTTGTTGAGTATTTTACTCTGATATTTAACTGAGAAGTAGTAATTGATAGCTTGTAGAACAAAATCTATTTTCTACTTCACCAATAGATTGTTATCAGACAAATACATTAGTTGCTATCTGCCGAATAATTCATAAATGAAGCCTATTAGCGTACAAAGATATTACTCCTAAGCTATTGAAGAGCTATTCCCTGAGGACCACTATCTCAAAAAATGTCAACGGTGCCACGACTGCAACATAGCTAAAATGGATTTATGGTTTCGGGCATGCATATCTCAATCTCCAAGAGAGCAAATACGACAGGGTGTATAACCAGTATCTTAATGCTGACGCAATTCTACCAGTCACCTTTCCAATATATTCATCAAAGTTAGGGGGATTCACCATCGTAGTGTAATTTGGATTGACATTGGAAAGTTGAGCGTAACTAACAGGAAGCCTTCGACATAAATCTTGTGCGTATTGACACTCACTATTAGAGCATATTAACAATCTCTAAGGGACTGATGTCCTTTAAAAGATTCAACCCCATGTTTATCGAGTGCTTCAGTAAGAGCTATTTTATTCAGAATAGCTCAACAGTAAAGTCTCTGATTTTGATACACTGACTAATGCACGTTTAAATGTTACAGGAAGCATGAGGTTTTTCAAAATTGTATACACGCACGCACTACTGATAAGTGCCAACAAGTACGAAACCTTGGTAAAAAAAATGGATTCATAATATATGACACTAGGATAAAATCTCGCTACGGTGAACAGCGATTACAGCAACTTTCACGTAGGCTTAGGAAAAACTGTTGTTCATAGGATTCCACTGGCAAATCGATTAATACATAAGTATTGAAGATAGCAGTTAACTCAGCTGTTATAACTCAGTTACTTGGTATACATTCTCACTCACCAGGTCATGAGCTACACTTAGTATGTGAGGGTTGCTCATGCTAAAGTAAATGGGGAGGGATTCGAACCCGAGATACGTTGACTGAAAGTTCAGTGCTTAAACTAATGAGCAACAGTTAAGCAGTTAAGCAATCACCGAGACTCTATGCTGGAAGTTTTGATATGGAAATAATTGTTAAATGTGCCAATTACAGAAATGCATCTAAATCTAAATGACGAATTTTCAGCACGGATACAGAAGGCTAGTTTCGCATTTGCCAGTTTACGCCGTCCCTGGCGTAGACGTGATATCCGCCTAGCTGGCTGTCGACCAAAGGGTGGGTAAACTGCTCAACAGTCCGCTTCGTCCTCCTTTATGGCTGTGAGACCTGGCCATTGAGAGCGGAAGACATGAAAAGATTAGCTGTGTTCGATCATACGTGTCTGCGTTCTATCTCCCGCGTGAAGTGGTATGATAAGGTGAGCAATATTGAGGTTAGGCGTCGAGTGCTAGGTAAGAAGGGGAAATCAATAGACGAGACTGTGAAATTACATCGACTGAGGTGGTTAGGATATGTGCTACGTATGCCTAGTCATTGCGTTCCTCGACGGGCAATGTTAGCTGATATAGGGTCAGGCTGGAAAAGGGCTAGCGGTAGTCAAACGAAAACATGGCACCAGTCAATGAAATCTACAACAGTTAGTCTAAGCCACAAAGAAGGTGTAGACTGGCTTCCTGGTTGGGGTCCTCGGGACGGTAAAAACCAATGGTTGGAAACAATTGGTGACATGGCTAAAAATCGTTCTCAGTGGCGCAGATGCATCCACTCCTTGTGACTTATAATTTTCAATGAAACTATATTGTTCTTCGTTATTACTATTCATTTGTCTCACACCTCTGTTTACTGTCTCTATTATGCATTTCTTCTACTTTCTTCTCTTGCTTTGTGTGCTACATGGAGTGTGGCGACTTGAACTGCCGCACATCGGTGCAAAGTTCTATGTCGAAAACAGACAAACAACATCTTTATTTGTAGAATTTCTTTTCCTTTCAAGTGTCATTCCATTTTTAACTGAAGCAGAATGATATTTCTTAGTTTTGAATGTACATATATATATATATATATATTCATAGGTGCATTGAAATACCTTAATTAATGCGCTGGGATTTTCTCGTGCCACTTCTTCAATATTTACACCACCTTGTTCACAACCAATTAATACTGGTCCACCACTTGATCGATCCAATACAATTGCCAGATAATGTTCACGCCTTGAATATTTACGTTCACATGCTAGCAGGGTATTACACAATTGACCTGAATCGCCTGTTTGAGCAGTAAATATTCGGTGGCCAAGCATACGACTAGCCACATTGACAGCTTCTTCTACACTGTGGGAAAAATAATAATAATAATAAAAAGAAAATAAACAGATTATCATATGAAAATACTACTTATTATACTATTCAACATGATTGCAAATAACTAAAGGGAGAGCTGATGTATGTAATCAGCCTTATCAAATGAAGCTGTAATAATAACTAATCAATGTAGTGCATATATAATTCATTAGGCGAATGTCTACACACTTGAGGGGGAATGAAAGTTGAATGTACTATAAGTTTTAAGCAGTAGCATCTACAGATAAATAGAATATAGTTTAATCCATAGAGGAAGGCATCTACTATTTAGCTGGTCTGTCTGGATTCAACACAGAACTTGCCATCGAAGTGCAGCAGTTCGAATTGCCACCTTCCAAAGAGCACACAAAGGTAGACAAGAAAATGAGTGGAGAGAATCAATAGAGTTTTGACAAGTATAAGAGTGAAACAGAATGAGTAATGGCAGAAAGGAATATGAAAGATTACAGAGACTGAATACATCTGCGCCACTGACAACGATTTTGAGCCATGTCACCTATTGTCTCCAGCCATTGGTTCCTAGAGTCCCAAGGGCCACAACCCGGAACTCTGCATCTCCCTACCTGACTCAGTTTAACTGTCAAGGATTTCATGGATTGATGAGGCCATGTTTTTGTTTGGCCACCACTTACTCTTTTCCAACCTGCACCTATATCAGCTAGTAATGCAATGCTAGTAATGGGGGAGGCGATGGTTAAGCATGCGCAGCATGTGACCTAGCCATCTCAATCTATGTAACTTTATAGCCTCTTCGATTGATTTTCCCTCTTTGCCCAACACTCTACGCCTAACGTCAACATTACTTACCTTATTATGCCACCTAACGTGAGAAAGAGATCGTAGACATCTATGATCAAAACAGTCTATCTAGCTGACGTCCTCAAGACACCTAATAATCAATGGTTGGAGACTGTTAGTGACATGGTTCACAATTGTTTTTCAGTGGCGTAGATGAAGGTACTTTGTGTGATCCGGTGTATTGACTATATATATTCATTCCTCGACAGATTCTGGAACGTAGGTATACTTACCGGAGACCAACATTTCCTATATTTCTCTATCTGAAGGCGGAATTCTACTCAGTCGACCGAGAGGTGTTATGGTGATGTTTGGCCGTGAAGAGAGTGTCAAGAAAGTATATCGTACTAGTCGAAGCACTATAATCGAACTCACGAAGCAGTGTAAGAGCTTATGGAGAGCTGTCATCTGAAGTGATGACAACCAGTGGTATCTATCACGGATGTCCACTATTCTCATTTTTGTTTAATTTCATTATAGATGTACTAATCGAACTGACCCTAACAGACTTTAGAGACTTAGGGATCGAATTATTCCCAGTCATCGAATTAGAGTATGCAAATGATATTGTCCCTTAGGAGAACATGCTAACAAGATGCAGTCTTCTGAACACCTTGAGCAAAAACCTTCAAATGTTCTGCATACGATTCACTACTGTCAAATGTAGGACTGGACTTCATTGACTCCTAGTTTAAAGATAGGGAGTTAAGTGATAAAGCGTGTTGACCACTTCACTTATTTGAGAAGTTAAATCAGTTCCAACGGATACGAAAGGCTCCTGTGGCATTAGCCAACCTACGTCATCTCTGATATAGACGTGATATCTAGCTATCGATCAAAGGACGTGTGTACTACACAGGAATTCGCTGTCTGTGAGACATGGCTATCAAAAAACGGAAGACATGGAAAGGCTAGCTCTCTTTGATCATACGTGTATGACTTCTATCTCCCATGTTAGGTGGTATAATACGGTGGTAAATATCAAAGTTAGGCGTAACCGGAGGGAAAATCAATCGACGGGGTTGTGAAGTTAAACAGATTAGGACAGTTAGGATATGCGTTGCATATACCAAATCATTGCCTTCCTCGACCACCACTGTTAACTGATATATAATTGAGTTGGAAAAGAGTAAACAGTCTTCACATCAAAACATGCTACCAATCTATGAAGTCGTTGACTATTGATTTCAACCATATACTAAGATGTAGACTGTCTGACAATTTGAATAGTCGCACTATTTTGCACAGTTCTATGTTGAACATTCGATCGAGTTCAGAATATGAATATTTCAGTCTGTTTGTAATTTGTCGTCTGGTTGTTGTCAGCTGTCTGTCTGTTTTCGACATAGTACTTTTCACCGATGTGCAGCAGTTCAAGTCGCCACACTACATCCGTGTAGCACACACAGCAAGAGAAGAAAGTAGAAGAAATGCATGATAGAGAGACAGTAAACAGAGGTGTGAGACAAAGGAATAATAATAACGAAGAACAGTATAGTTTCATTGGAAATCATAAGTCACAAGGAGTAGATACATCTGCACCATTGAGAAAGATTTTGAGCCATATCACCAATTGTCTCTGGCCATTGCTTTCGACCATCCCGAGGACCCCAACCAGTCAGGAAGTCTACACCTCCCTACGTGGCTGGCTTAAACTAACTGTTGTAGGTTTCAATGACTGATGTCATGTTTTCATTTGACCACCACTATCTGTTTTCCAACCTGATCCTTTGTCAGTCAGCTAACATTTCCCGTCGAGGAAGGCGATGACTAGGCATGTATGCGTAACACATGTCCTAACCATCTCAGTCGATGTAGCTTCACAGCTTCATCGATTTATTTCCCCTCCTTACCTAGCACTCGACGCCTAACCTCAATATTGCTTACCTTATCATACTACTTCACACGCGAGATACAACGCAGGCACCTATGATCAAAGACAGCTATCCACCCTTTTCATGTCTTCCACTCTCAATGGCCAGGTCCCACAGCCATAAAGGAGGATGGAGTGGACTGATGAGCAGTACACACGCCCTTTGGTCAATAGTCGGATATCACGTCTACGCCAGAGACGGCGTAAACTGGCATATGCGAAACTAGCCCTCTATATCCGTGCTGAGATTTCGTCAGCGATCAACCCGTTGGGGCTGATGGTACTTCCCGAGTAAGTGAAGCGGTCAAAGTGCTCTACCACTTTACTCCCTATTTCTAATCTAGGAGTCGGTGTAGTCCAATCCTGCAGCATCATCTTACATTTTACAGCGGCGAGTCGCATACCAAACATTCGTAGATTGCAGCTCAATGTGTTTAGAAGACTCTGCATTTTGTCAGCGTCTTCGCCTACAAGGACCATGTCATCTGCATATTCTAAGTCAACGAGATTATTCCCTGGTGGTAACAAGTCAATCCCTGAGTCGCTGAAGTAAGTTAACGTTAAGTCCATTAGTTCATCTATGATGAAGTTGAAAAGAAGTGGGGATAATGGGCATCCTTGACGGACGCCACTAGTCGTCAACACTTCAGATGACAACTCGCAGTAAGCCCTCACCTGACTGTATGAGTACGAGTAGAGTGCCTTAATCAGTGCAATATATTTTCTCGGCATTCCCTTTACAGCCAAGCATCGCCAGAGTACCTCTCGGTCGACAGAATCGAATGACGCATTTAGGTCAAGAAATATAATGATTGTTGGACGCCGGTAGGAATGCCTATGTTCTAGAATCTGTCGGAGGGTGAAGATATGATCAATACACCCTCTTCGTGGCCTAAGGCCTGCCTGGTTGTCAGCTCATAATTTACACTGTGTTACTTATTGCTTATACAAAATATCAGTCACTTATTTCAATTATTACAGTGGGTTTTTTTCTACAGTTAATTAATTATAAGATGTACAAATATTCACCTACAAGGTCACTTTCAAACAAGTTTATTTTATGTATATACAGTTTGACTATTTATGCATATTTTGATCTATAATAAAATCTGTATCATCCTCCTAATGAGACTGTAAGATGTTGTCTAGAAAATCTTGTTTGCTTTGTCCTTTTTTCTAAACTCATTGAAATTATTTTAAAACAATTTTATAATGATTTCATTAAACTCAACGCGTAAACGGATCCAAGGAATTTGCAATATCCATATTTTGGATATTTAATCAAGAACCCCGTTTCACTGTCAATTTCCAAGTATTGGTTTTGTAGCGATTTTGTTTGATTGCATGGAGGATTTCATCATGAACTGACATCAATTAGAAAACCACTGGAAAACCTGGGAGTATTGGACAGCCATTTCGTCCTAGTTTGGGACTCTTTGGTAGTACGCACCCACTTGGGTTCGAACCCAGGGCCTTCTGGTTACAAGGAGAGCTCGTAGGCCATTGGATCGGGTCCCAGTGGCTCAATAGTCTACGAGTTCGCCTTGTAACTAGAAGGTCTTGGGTCCGAACCCCAGTGGGTGCGTACTGATGAAGAGTCCCAAACTAGGACGAAATAGTTGTCCAGTACTCCCAGGCTTCCAGTGGTTCTCTAACTGATGTCAGCTCATGATGAAATCCTTCATCCAATCACTTTCAATTATTGACTTGTATTAGAGATCACCTCTAATATATAAAAGAGATGACTTCATTTAGATTTCTCCCGTTGGTGGGGTGGTGATTGGTGCTTGTTTTTATTGTTGTTATTGTCATATGGGTAGTTTTTTATCACTTCTATCTCCTATATGTTCACCTGAAGTTCTGTCCTAGTTGAATCTACTGTCAACTTGTTGGCTTTCGCCTTGAAATTTTTTGAGTTTGTGCGACACGGAGCATAAATCATCCTCGAAATGTGGATATTCTAGGGTTATTTTGTTGATCTAAAATGTGCCAATCTTCTTACTCCCCATGGCTTGTTGCATGATTCAATCCACCACAGTCAGGAATATATCATCGGTAACAGTAGGCAATCTTCTCTTACTACTTACTGTCTTTACTTCAAACACTTCAGTCAGCTTTCTTGTGTAAGCTGCTTGGCATAAAGTATCACTGTGTAGTTGTTGAATGAAGTTTGTGATACTGCACTCCAGAGTGTTGAAGTATTATCACTTTTATTGTTTCCTTGGGTTTCGAGTGGAACATAGGGCTTCAACAATACATATCCATTTTGTCCAATTCTTTGAGGTCCTTTTTACCTGACCCCACGATTGTCCATAATCTCTCATCTCTTCCAAATTACTTCACGGTAGACACTGTCGAAGGCCTTTAAAAGACTGAGGTAAGTTATGTAAGATTATGATCAGTAGTGTTGCAATTTGATTCCAGCATGACTTATTTTTCCTGAATCCAGTCCCTCTTGAGTAGAGTTTTACATCTAGAGCATTTTTTAGTGTCCCCAGGATGATGCAGCTTAATGTTTTGCTTGGGGTGGATGGGAACCCGGTGCCACGCCACTTGTTGCATAGGCTTAGACTTTCTTCCCGTCTGCATGTACATTTACTTCCCTCCACACCTTATGCTGATGATGATAAAGATTCCTGGCCAACAGCAACAACAACAGACAACAATCAGCATAGATGGGAGAAATCTGAAAGAAGCAACCTCCTTTACCTACATACCTGGGAAGCACCGTTTCAACTACAGGCGCACGGAACCAATGAGGATGTCTTCAAAGCGAGGATCGGAAAAGCAAGGCAAGTTTTCATTACTCTTAAGTTTGTGTGGAGATCAACACCATACACAGCATAAAAAATAACATCCAGATTTTCAACTCCAATGTGAAGTCAGTCAGTGCTACTATACGGATCAGATACTTGGCGCCGCGTCACGACGAGCACTTCGAACAAACTACACACTTTCATCAACAGCTGTCTTCGCTCAATACCAGTCAAGATCAGATGGCCGACCAGAAAAGATCAACAATAGTGAGGGATCTCTGGGAGCGAACCAACCCATCAAGAACCGATTATGCAACAAATCTGCATGGAGGGAATGAAGGTGGATTGGTCATACTCTGAGAAAACCATCAAGTGAGTGACATCACACGCCAGGCTATCACTCGAGTGGAACCCCAATGGGAAGCAGCGAGTTGGCCATCAGTGCGAGGGCGACATGGAGGAGGTCATGCGAAGGGGAGATAAAAGCATGTGGGTAGATGCGGAGCTAGGTGAAAACTTTAGCAGAGAAACGAACGCAATGGGGACGTGCGGCTGAAGCGCTATTTTCCTCTAGGAACTAAAGGGAACAATAATAATAATATAACACTTTATGCATTAATGGTGTACACACGTCCATTGAGGTTTCCGGATCCGTTTAAAGTACTGCTGGGAGATTCCATCTGGTCCAGTTACTTTACCCGCTGGTTCTATGTAACTTGATAGTGATTCAAGTCTTTTCCAGTGATCAGCCTGGCGTTTCCTCTGCTCCACCTTTTTGGTAGTTGTTGGGTTTCCTTATGTATCTTTTACTGGCTTCATATGTGTTGATCTCTACCAGGATAGTGACCTGGTTATTTGGTCCAGTGTTTTGAGGTCTCATTTACCTTCAGCCTACTCTGCTTCATTTGCCAGTGTATCGTAAAGTATCTTTCAACTTTCTTAGAATTCTTCTTTACTTCTTTATTCCGTGCACTGTAGATTATATTCAGCTTCTCCTATTACACTTATCCCAAATACAAATAATGCTAATCTTAACAATAAAACAAAAGAAAGAAAACTTATCGAAATAATCACCTTGAATAATACAAATACAAATGAAGAAGAAGACAAAAGAAAAGAAAAGAAGATGCTTACTTATATACAATTTTAACTCCACCTTTTAATCCACTATCCCAGATCCCTTTACCACGACCACCAGCTAACACTTGAGCCTTTAAAACTACATCTGTGCTATCTGTAGTCTCACCTAAAGCAAAAATGGAAAATAAATAAACAAAAAAGGTTAATTGTAAAAGTATCATACACTATATATATACATATATATGTCAAAATATAGTTAGGTTTATCGATATTCAAGAAAAATCCATAACCAATTTAAAAGTGCATATGCATTCTACAACAAACAAAGCAATAATAGTGAATATATTTAACGCGCGTGGTATGTTAGAAGTGAAAACATTGAGCGTTGAAATAATAATAATAAGAGCTACTGAAGAGCAATATATATATATACATATATATATTAAAACTGACAACGGATTGATATCAGTTAGAGAACCATCGAAAACGCGGAAGTACTGGACAGCTGTTCCGTCTTAGTTTGGGAATCATCGGTAGTACACACCTGCCGGGGTTCAAACCCAAGACTTTCCCGTTGTAAGGCGACCTCGTAGACTGTTCAGCCACTGGGAGCCGACTCAATAGTGAGCCAATGGATTCTAAATTTTACAAAATTCGTGACTTTAGCGCAGCCACAGGTCAATGTCATAGGCGAGTATTTGTCATCACTTCTGACCGAGTGGACCTCACTGGTTACAACGTCTCACTATAAGTACAGGCAACTTAGCTCTATAGCCAGTCAGTCACTAGAGAGATTGTCTTATAACCAGAAGGTCGTGGGTTTAAACCCCAGTGTGGTGGGTGCGTACTGGTGACGAGTCCTAAACTAGGACGAAACAGCTGTCCTGTACTCCCTGGTTTCAATGGTTCTCTAACTGATATCAATCCGTGATCAAAACTGAAACAAATGAAATCCCTACTAAAAGTCTTTTTTAGTATTTTGGTATACTAACTTTGAAAAATTTTTACATTACATTATAGCCGTTAATCTTATTCCTTAGTGGAAAATCCAATGAACCTTTTTAAGTACTTCACACAGTCTGTCTGTCTGTTTTCGACATAGAACTTTGTACCGATGTGCGGCAGTTCAAGTCGCCACAATCTATGTAGCACGCAAAGCAAGAGAAGAAAGTAGAAGAAATACATAATATAGACAGTAAACAGAGGTGTGAGACAAAGGAATAGTAGTAACGAAGAACAATATAGTTTCATTGGAAATCATAAGTCACAAGGAGTGGATGCATCTGCGCCATTGAGAACGATTTTGATCCATGTCACCAATTGTTTCCAACCATTGAATTTTACCGTTCCGAGGACCCCAACCAGGAAGTCTACACCTTCCTACGTGGCTTAGACTAACTAACTTCACATAGACTGATATCTCTTTCAAATTCTGAATCAATATAGCTTGAACTCATTTCAAGTGATCGTAGCAAGGAGGTATAATGAACAAACAACATGTGTGTTATTAACAATATTTTAGAGCGAGAAAAAGAAAACTTATCATAAAGGGAAACGAGACGTGGTTGTTGTTTAGAACAGTGATATTAAAATACTGCGTCAGTCGTTTACAGGTAGAATTTTCGCCAACCACTTATGTGGTCTGGAGTTCAATCCCCGATCGACGCACACTCCTAAACCTGGTAAAGAAGGAAGGTTGAGAGTGAAACTAGCAATCTCACTCCGTAGAAATAAAAAAACCACCGTCACCGGAACTTCAACGCTCGAGCTTGAAGCCCCGTGTTCCACTCGGAAAGCAAAGGAATAAAATATTAAAAAATAAAAATAATAATTGAAATACTAGTACAATTCTTTGCCTGAATAGTCAGTTAAGATAACTTAATATTCCGTATTAACTAACGAAATAGTCCCAATAAATTAGAAGGAAAATATCAACTAGAACTTTTGTATAAAGCCAGAAATCAGTTCACGTTTTACGTTTCTTTTGTAGCTCATGTTTCTTCCTCCAAATACGCTGATATATGTATGAATGAGAATTCTGAGTAAAAGTGAATAATGTTCAACGAGTAAAAATCGTTGTATATATTATTTCTTAATTAAACTAACTTATGAAACACTTCTGTAATCTCTTGTAAACGTAACATCTTATCATCAGATGAAGGATTTTGACTCTTCTTCTGAGGATAGTTCGTCAAATCAAAAGATACCTGAAGAATTTGTATCATCTGAGGAGTCTGAGGCAATTTTTTTAAATGCTGTTTTCGGTTCGTGAATTGGTAGGCAGTGATTAACCGCAGAACACTAACAGGTCGTCAATGCTTTTTTCAACCTCTTTTTTATCTTAAAAGAGTAGGATAGAGTATTATATTATTACTATTAATACACAAACACGGTATATCATAAACACCAAGAGATGCGCCATACAAAATCCCATAATTTGTGCGGGCTGACACTTTTAGGAAGCTCAGACTAAATCAGGTAGTTATTTTAAGGGACCACCCCACCCCCAGGTCTATGACTTGGAGCCTCATCCACAAGGCAGTGAAAAAGCGACAGCAGTTATGTTTAAATGGTTGCCAATGACCAAAATGGATTCATCAAATGCCATTTGATCTTTTCGGATTCTGTAGCCGATGTACACACCATATTTTTGAAATCAGGATATCCACCAGTCCGATTGTAAGCACCAGATGTCCTCTCACTCGCCCTTTCACTTTTGTGACGAACACCTTCCACGGTGTGAATGTAATGAATACGACTTACCTTGTAGTAGAGGCCATGAACGCATGGAAGCATTCCGAGAGAAAGACTGAAGTGTACCCTCCCCCCCCTCGACTGTACCAGATAGTTTGTGGGAGTAGGAGTAGCGTGCAAATTAGACATTTAGATAAACTGCGCATAACACATATATTCAAAGAAAGGGTACACCTCCTTTCATACAAGCTAAATAAATGCATTAACAGGTAACTTGAATTTGAAGAAAAAAACAACAACTTAGAAGAACATCGAACAGAGACAGAAAAGCAAGAGAAGAGACAGAAAGAAAGAGAGAAAGATCACAAAAAAACGAACTTCTTATAGGCCATGACTAAACAACTCATTACCTCACCTGCATTCTCTATTTCTTTCTTAGTTAAAACACCTAGACAAAATAATAAATGATGTATCAAAAAGGATTAGAAATGAATCAGTCAGTACATACATTCATTGCAAGGTAAGGCATGCATACCATTTAAACGAAAAATGATGGAGTAGTAAATGCATCAGAGAAACTAATGAAGGTAACAAAAGTAGCAGGATAAAATACAGGTTCTAAACTAAATGGCTTTCTATCAGAAATCAACTAGTGGTCCAAGGAAAACGGTTTTACCTTAAACCCCTCCAAATGCCGAACAGTCAATTTCAATTTTAGGCATAAATCTGACCTAAACAAACTGGTTAGCTCTCACGAGGTATGCAACATTGATGGCACTGAAATAGAAACCAAGTCGGAAATTAAATACCTAGGCGTCATTCTATCTGCTGATCTCTCCTGGTCGTCTCATATCTTAATGATTGCTAAGAAAATATTCCGTCTTACCTTCTACATCAAGAAGTTAAGACATTCTGGTATAACCCAACCCTTACTCCTACAATTCGTTAACTCTCGCATTCTCCCTATTATTCTCTATTGTTCCCCCTTAGTTTTTCCCGGGCTACTGAAGAAAGACTATAACATATTACGCAGGATGTTAAAGGTTGTCAGCAGGGTAAGCAACGTGCCACTTAACCAGCTTGTTAATATTCTGGTTGACAGGCATTTGGACTCCTGTGAGAAATGGGCCAAGTCCATTTTATCTAACTCACACCACCCTCTTCACTCACAACTCTCCCCTTGCATTTCATCAGGCAAAACCAGAAGCCAATATAGAAAACTATATGCTCGCACTAGCAAGTACAAAAACTCAACCATATCCTACTTAGCTCTTGTTCTGTACGATAAAGAAAGCATTAGGCGTGATACCTATAACTTATTAAATAGTCAGTAGAACAACTGGATCTCGTCTTTCCAACTCATTATATCATTTATAGGTACAACATTTTCTTTCTTTCTTTTCCTTTTCTCTCTCTCTCTTTTTCTTTTTTCCGTTATGTGCTGCTTTGTTTCTTTCTTCCGCTTACACCAGTAAATATGATAGCACCTACTTTTCTAACACCTTCAAACACTGTTCAGCTTTTGGCTTTGCTACCGACATGCCAATATGTTGTTGTCATAATGAACTGAGATTTCCTTAATCTATGTAGAATTTTATTTATTGATAATGTACTAACTGGATGCAATACTGTAGTGGAAATGCTGAGAATTCCATTCTGTATCACAAGTACTGTTTTGGAATAAAGCAAATTATTATTATTACTATTATTTCATGGATTCTTTATATATATATATATATATATACATATATACATATATATATTACAAAACAGGGTGTGAACCTACTTTTATCACGTTGAAAGGGGATTATTATTATTATTACTGGGAACTATAAGTAACATAAGTCATGAATAATTTTAGTAGTTAAGATTATTAAGTGTTAAAAGGATTGACTATTTATATAGGATAATTAGACGAATATTCTTGAAAAAAAATTACGTTTCAAAATTCTCTGGACAGAATGAAAGTTTAACTAGAAAGAGTACTTTCAAGTGTTGACTTGCAAAGATTTGATTGATTTCAAGCTTGAAAATTAACTCAGTGCTCGCTAGTGGCTGATGATTCCAGTACAAAGTTGCCTGCAGTTCTAGTGAGAAGTCGTTTTAGTGGAGTTCATCAGATCGGTGACATTGCTTGATGGTCACGCTAAACATCGCGAAATAGCTGAAGCTAGAATTAATGGACCATTTGGATCCCGTTCTAGTGGTTGAATGGTCAACAACCTCGCCTCATCAGTAAATTGAAGCTCCTGGTTTCGATTCCGGTGGATTTATTGAGGTGTACTGTTGAAAAGTTTCAAACAAGTGTGAAACAGTTGTCTAATACTCCCTGGTTTTCAATGGTTCTCTAAGTGAAGTCAGTTCGTGAACAAACTAGAAATAGTACATCAGTATAACAGATCGTTTGACTACTAAAATATTTTACCATAGGAAAAAGGAGTAAGGTGAGTGACATTCATATGAAACAGAACA